GTCCTCATCCTGCTTCCTGCCTCAGTGGCGTTTGAGTTTCCTGTTCTGGAAACAGTCTTATCCTTGGCCTCCTTCTGAGACTTCCTATCATGTTCGGCCTTCTTCTCCAGGGTCCTCTTATTTTTTATTTTTTGTATTTTTAGAGACAGGGTCTCACTATATTACCTAGGCTGGTCTCAAACTCCCTGGCTCAAGCAATCCTTTTACCTTGGCCTCCCAAAGTGCTAGGATTACAAGCATGAACCACTGTACACAGCCGGGTTCTCTTATTTTATACTATGCCTTCCTAGTTTCCTTTTAGACTCTCTCCTTCTGACAACTCATTACAAGCAAATGTACTTAACTCTTCTGTCCTTATCCCTTTTGTCACTTGCTGCACTGTCCTTGGGTGATCTTACCCATTCCATGCTTTAAATGGCTAATTATAGTTATGATTTCCATCCATGGAGAACCTGGGTAAGTCAGATGGCTGGGTTTGCCTCCCAGCTCTGCTGCTTACTAGCTGTGTGACTGTGGGCAGGTTGCTTAAACTCTGTGCCTCAGTTTCCTCATCTATCAAGTGAGGGTACAAATAATTAACCCCATAAATATGAAGCGTATCACCTCTCCTATTAACTGCCCCAATCCACTCTGAGTTTTATCTGGTTAACATTTATTAATTTGTCAGGTCTCACCTAAGATGTTACCTCCTACAGGAAACATTCCCAGATGTTCAAATCTAGTTAGATCCTTTTTCCATGTCCCCTCATAATTCAGTCTGACTGCCCTATTTCCCTGTCTTAGTGTTTGTCACAGTTATCATAACTGCTGATGTATTCAGATCAGCTGGAAGCTTGTGAGGGTAGAGATGGAGTCTGACTGGGTCATCATTGTGTCCCCAGGGTCTAGCTCAGTGCCTGGCACATAGCAGTACTTGATAAATACTTGCTGAATGAATGACTCATGGAATTGCAGTGTGCGATGACGCCTCTAAAGACATTCCTTCTTTGCGGTTACATCCCTAGGTTTTGTAGGTTAGAAAACTCTATTAGATTTGTTGTGGTTGGGTATCCTTGACAACGTGGCTCACAGTAACTCATGGAAGACCAAATTGCAAACCTAAATGACAGCCTTTAAAATTTTTAACGATGCTTATGGTGTTCTAAAGAACAATTTTATGAGGCCTTACTTACTAATGTAATAGGCTCTCTTCAACACCTAATACTGTGATGTTATGAACATGGGAACATTTGGTTTTGCAAAGTGTTGTCATCAGCAATAAGCTTCTCAAGAGCAGAAGTTTCCGCCGTAGTATGCACAGGGGCTGTGGACTTTTTGACTATTTGAAGGACTGTCATATGGAAAGGGATCAGGCTTAGTGTGTAGGACTCCAAGAGGTAGGACACAACAAGAATGCAGATGCCTTCTTTTTAGAACAAAGAACTTTCGAACTATAACAGCTGTCTGGAAATGAGTGGGCCACCCCGGAGGTCATGACCTTATCACCATGTGTGTTCAAGCATGGCAGGGAGAAGCCCTGGGCAGGGATATCTGGAAGGAGAAGGACAAGTGGAGACTTCAGGGTCCCTTCTAATCCTGAGAGTCTGGCAGTGCCCTACTCACCCAAGGACCATTGAGCTAGGCCCTGTGCCCACACCATAGGCCCTGTGCCCACACCCTGCCCCAATAAATGGCTCAAGAAGAACAAGTGCTACATACTCATTGGCAAGATATGCCACCATCAGCTTAATTATTTAAACCATTTTGACAAATGGTTTTATGGCCTTTCTTGAAATTGATGTTGTTATTAGCACTGCCCAATAACTTTTCCTTTTTGGTCTCTTGGTAAAGGTGTGTCTGTATCTTGACTTTAGCTTATGCCTGGCCTGTGTGATGGGGTAGACCATAATAGCCTGAGAAATTAAATTCTGGAGTGCATTTTGGAATGAGCACCCCCAGATTTGATTCTAGTGTCTTAGGCTGGTTTTGCATTGATTGTCTGGGAAATATTATAAAATTCACTTTCTCCTCCCGGACTCAGGATTACACCCACCCCTCTTGGAGAAGGGAAGAGCACAGTTACCATTGGGCTTGTGCAGGCGCTGACTGCACACCTGAATGTCAACTCCTTTGCCTGTCTGAGGCAGCCTTCCCAAGGACCAACGTTTGGAGTGAAAGGTACTGTCTTTAACAACTAGTGTACTTTTCAGGGCAAAGTTGGGGGGAGCAAATTGTAAAAAGAACTTTGTCAACAGATAAAGAGTTAAGACTTTTCAGGGGACTTGATACATTTCTTCCCTGCGCACTCAGTACATAGTGGTCGCCCCACGTTGGTCCCCCTGCGCGTGGAAGTGAGCAGTGGGAGCTGCCAGGGCTTCACTGGATGCCTCGGGAGCCGGTTCCTGAGGCTGTGTTGCTCAAGGCTCCCACCTCAGTGCAGTCTCCCATTTCATCAGGACCTTCTTTGCCAAGTGATCTTGAAACACGGCCATCCATATCGGTGTTTGATCATCCCAGTCTCGGGAAAGGTCTTTCCCTCTGCTTTAGTCTCGGCTCACTGGAGTTGCTGTGTGGGGCCCGCAGAGCTCTCTGGAGACGGACTGGCTGTGGACGGCGAGTTGTGATGAAATTCCTCTTTGGCTGTGGTTGGGCTGGGATCTGGCACTTTCCCATTTGTTACTCTTTCTTCCTTGATTTATCATGAAATCATTCCTTAACTCACTTTACAATGGTATTTATTGCTGCAATTACAGTTTGTCTTTGGCACTTCATGATTTTTTAAGAATATTATATTTCTATTACT